TTTTTGTCAGTAGTTCTAGTCAATTTTAATCAGACAAAAAAAATACTAATAAATGGTTTTTAAGTCGATTTAAGTCGTAAAAGCATTTCACAATCAGACTTTTAAAAAACCACCAATTTCACTACCAGTAGAACAAGTCTATTTCAAGTCAGACACCCTCTAATTGCTAACAAAATTGTTCTCTCAACTAAATAGTTTTTTCCCACATGAGAAAGCACCTTTTTTTCTCCTCAATTTTTCTCTTTCTCCTCTTTTGCTCTATTTTTATTTTTTGCCTTTTTTTCTCTTTTTATTTTTTCTAATTTTTTCATTCTCATATGGTTTTTTGTTCTCTTTCACGTTTTATTCTTCCAAAAAAGTTAAATTTTTTGCGACTCTTGACTGCTTACATAAATAAAAAAAAAAAAAAGAAGGTCAGGTTGACCCTTTTCCCGGATTGGCGTCAAAGTAGTTGAGCTTAAGGCGATTGGGATAAAGTCACCTTCAAGTTTACTGTTTGCAACTTGTTTGAAGAAAGTTAATACAGCAGAATAGGTTTAGGGATTGGATTGGGAAGTAGATCAGATATTTGTAAGAAGAAGTAGTACCTCTCTGTCTCTCTCTTTCTCTCTCACTCTTTCTCTCCTCTCTCGTTGGGAAAAGTTTTAATGGAATACTTCCAAGTGTTTCCATGATGCCAGAGACTTGCACACGTTTCCCGCTGATGAGAGAAGTTTGAAAAATGATGCACATCATTTTTCAGCAACATTACAACAACAACAACAAAAAATAAACAAGAAATGAAATACTTTCAATACAGGGTGAAAAAAGCCACCGGGATATTTAAGCTTTAAAAAATATATACACTCTACTGAATAAACTTTTAAATTGCTCAACTTTATCCCACACTATTTTTTCTAAGCCAATTTTTTTTCTTTTTTGTGTAAAATTCATTTTTTTTAATTTATATTTTGCTACTAAACAACTAATTTTGGTAAAATTTATTTATTGGAGGAATTAACGAATTTTTGTCTTACAGAAACAGAAACTTATTTAATATTAATAAATTAATATAAATAAAAAGCTAAATTTTGTGTTTAGTAGTTCAAGTCGACTTTAGTCAGACAAGAAAAAAATACGTAAATGTTTAAAGAGTAAATTTTTTAGACAGACAAAAATTTTATATGAAACGTCAGTAGTACAAGTCAATTAAAATCAGACAATGTAGAAAATTCTATTTTCAGTAGTACGAAATATTTTTAACCAGACAAAACTTCTATAAAAATTAAAAATACAGTAGTACAAGATAATTTTAATCAGATAAATTTTTAAATTTCTTATAAGTATAGAACTAGTCGATTTGAAGCGAACAAGAAACATTTGTTTTTTTTGTAATTAAAGTCGACTCTATTTCTATCTAGAAAATTATTTTTCTATTAGTAGCAAAAGTAGAAAAAATCGATTCCAATCAGAAAATGAAAATAAATATCGCCTGAGTAGTAAAAAAAAGTTTGTCAGACAACACTCTTCTACCGATTCCACTAACCGAAAAACTATTTCATTTTTCCAATTAAACAAACATTCCGTTTAATTTATTCGAAAAAAATTCTTTTCTATCAACAAAATTTTCAATATTTTTCCCTAGAAATATTGTCAGCCAATATTTAAAATCAACAATTACTTTTCAAAATTCCAAATTTTCTCTACATTTATTTTAAAAACACCTAAAACAAATTCCTCCCCTTTTTCCCCAAAAAAAAGGAAAGAAGAAATTTTTTGGGGAAAATAAATTCAAGACTTGCGTCATATAACTGTCAAAATTACGGGAGTTTCGAACAAAAGTAAAAGAGTTGGCTTCTACTTTTATCACACTGATCCCTATTTTACATTTTTTTTCTCTCTCTCTCCTCTTTTTCCTTCTACTACTTTTCCAGATCATTTTACTTTCTATCCCTCTTTTCTCTAGCAAAACGAAAGAGTTGCGACAATTTATTTCTACAACGGATTAAAGCGGTGCCTCGCTCGTAATCTTCCTCGCGCCACACTGCCGCATTTCTATCTCTATTTTCCGTTCTTCTCTCAACAATTTCCTCTCCATTTTTCGAAATTGTCACAAGTTTTCTTCTTTCTCAAAAGTTTTTAGAAACACAGTTATATTTCAGATAAGATGCACATTTTTATTTTTAGATGGAAAGAAATAAATTTCTTTTGGTGTACAAAAAAATTTATTTCGATTCAAAGAACCGATTACTTTTCTATTATCAAACAAATATTTACTTGAATCAAACAAGTTTTATTTAAATCGAATAATTTTTATTGTAAATAATTTTTATTCTATCAAATAATTTTTTATTTAAATCAAATAATTTTCCTTCAGGTAAATATATCGAAACTGGTAACAAAATAAAAGGGAAGAAATTTTTATTTCAGTCTCTCTCTCTCTTTTTTTTGGTGGTTTGCTCATGAAGAGAAGAACGAGCAAGCGAAGGTCTGTCAACATAAACTGCAGAGCCTGAGTAAACACGCGTGAAATTTAATCGTCCGTGAAGGATCGATCGTTTTACCCCTAAGTTAATTTGTCGAGCCAATAAAAACGATCTCATTTCGTTACTAAAAATCACTCTCTTTTCGGAGCTTTCATTCTCTCTAAATACGTAGAAAAAAATGTTTCATAATTTACTTCCACCATTTAACCGTTAAACACACGTTTTCTGATAAATTAAAGTTTTATACGTCAAACAAAGTTCTTACTTCAAACCGTTTTTCTTTTTGTAAAAAAAATCCCTCTCTAAATCCAAATTAATCAAACAGAAGTAATTGTTAGTTAAATCTTATCTGACTTTTTTAAAAAAATTATCAAACAAAAATTTTTAATTTATTTGGAAGCAATAAATATTCATTAGTAAAAAAATATAAGTAGTATTTAGCAAATAAATAAATAAATTTTAGTAGTATTGTAACTAATTTTTAGTAGTATCAAAACTAATTTTAGAAATAAATAAAATTAAAATTCATGATTTAGTAATAAAAACTAATTTGCTATTAAATTAATTTACTTTCAACCGATTAAAATTATAGATTCACAATTTTTATAATAACAAATTTTCTAAATTCTAATAAGAAAAAGAATTAAGAAAGAAAAATAAATAAAAATATTAAGACTAAGAAAAAATAAATTTAAAAAAGAAAAAATGAGTAAAAATAAATAAATAAATGAAAATCATTAAAAGAAAAATTAATGAATAAATATTGAAATGAAATTAATTTGAAATGAAAATAAATAAAAGAAATAAAAATCACAAAAAGAAGAAATAAAGAACTAATTAAAAATAAATACATAAAAATTACAAAAAAAAGTATTGCAAAAAAATAATAAAAGAACAAATTAAATTGTAATTAACTAAAAAGAAAAGAATTTAAACAGTTAGATAAATTTAAAACGAAAATTTTTTTATTTTTTACCACGTAAATTAAGTTTTTAAATGAAAAATTTTGATTAATTTTTTTCTATATAAGAGAGGATTTTTTTAAATTTAAATTCTATTCGTGTACACTTTTAATCAAATCTATTATTCCCGTATAATTAAAAGTATACTTTTGTATATATAACACAAGAAAATTCTAATATTAATGCCGGTGCACGTAACACAAAAATTCAGAGAAATGCACAAAACTTGCAAAAAAAAAAAAAAATGGTAGGGATATTTTTTTCATTCTTTTTTTTTGGGAAAAAATGTGATTTCCAGAGAAACATGATCAAAGTGAGTCGAGTCGTGACACTGCACTGGAAGTAATTACGTTTCTTTTTCAAACGCGTTATTAAAAGATTTCAGAAAAAAGATTTCATATATATGAACTTATTTTTTCCATTAATAAATAATTAGAAAAATTTTTTTTCGCAATTATAAAATGTCTGGGTTTCTTTTTATTTTATTCAATTAGATAATTAAGTATAATTGATAACCACACTTAATTAATCGTACTTATAAATTGCAATTATAATAATATTTATTATTACTACAGTTATAATAATAATTATTATCTCTACAATTATAATAATAATTATTTTCACTACAATTATAATAACAATATTAATTATTATAATTTTAGTGACAATAATTATTAAAAATTGCTAATTTGAAAAAAATTGCTAATTATACCTATAATAATTAACATTTTAATTAATTTTCTTATTTATTAATTAATATTAATTACTATTAAATTGCATAATCATTACAATTATTATTAACTTTATGACTAAAAATTAAATAATAATGTTAATAACTATAACAATTATCGATAACAAAAAAATTTTCCAATTCTTTAATTGGCAATTATTAAAAACAGATTTATCAGAAAAAATTTTGCCGTGATGAAATACGATGCAATGAAACTATGGAATGTGAGGTTTCATCGGATGCAAACTTCTAATGGGAAGATTGAGCGTAAATGAGAACAAACTCGGTCAAATTGAAACGTGAATAAGGTAGTTGAAAGACTAATAATTGGATAATACCCGAACGGCGCTAAGTCTTGTGCCAAAGGTTATTTCCCACTTGTCCTAAATTAGTCAGGAGAAATATCGAAACTTTCAACTCGTCTATATACATTTATCAATCACACCGAATTTTTTTTTTTTTTTTTTTTTTTTTTTTGAAAGTTCAAAAATAATTATGTTAGTACTAATTATATCCCAACAATTTACAACAGATTACTGTAGAGAAATAATGGTAATTTATAAATTTATAAGTATTAATAATATTAATATTTATTAATGAATCAACAAGTATTAATAATTTATTTGTTTCAAAGCAAATGAGACTTGTCCTTTCATAATATTAATTTTAATTAATAAATTGTTATGTATTATTAATATTAATATTAATTAATATTGTTGATAATAATTATTAATATTATTAATTAAAATTATAACAATAGGTCAATATAAAAAATTGCTAATTAAATGAATAGACAAATTAATAATAATACACTAAATAAAGAAAAAATTGTTTTTGTTTCAGGATTATGTCACACACCACTTGGAATGGAGTCTGGAGCAATTCCAGATTCTGCCATCAATGCATCATCGTCCTACGTAACTAACGTGGGACCAAGAAATAGCAGGTAACATTATTATTAATGCAAATTTAATGAAATACACTATATATACTCTGAAATTAATTTCTCCACAGACACGTTAATTACTATTATACAGAAATTTTAATGCGATTAAAATAGGAAGCAACACTACGACTAGAGACGACTTTCACTATTTTATACGAAATTGAGTAGAAGCGATTTTTACTACTGATACAAGACTTGACAAAATTACTAATAAATTTGTTAATCTAGAACTATTTCTTTTTTAAATTTATAAACATTTCTCCTAATTCTCAATTTTTGCTAATTGTACTTTACAGCCAAACTAATTTCCTCCATTCCTACAATAATTCCACATCCATTTCTAAAAAAAAAATAAGAGAATAATATAATTAATTCTGAATTCTCAGTATAATTAAAAGTGCTTTCATTTTTCAAAAATGTTTCAATTAACATTTAATTCTATTAAATGCTTTTTTCACAAAAAACTATCCAACAATCTTTTTAAACACGTTATAGAAAAAAAAAGAAATTAACCTCCTTTACTCCAACTCTAATTCCCCACTTTCTTTCAATCTCAAAAAACTCTTAATTACTCTGACCGTAAATTATAATATAATTCCCTCCCTCCCCCAACTCTTATTTCTAAAATTACTATACTTGTAATGCAACATTACATTATAAGTAAATTACACAAATAAACTTTACCCACACTAATAATAATAATATTAATACCAATTCACGTAGTAGATTTTATTTTGCACTTTTCTACACATTACGTGCCTGTAATTTTTAATTATTAGAAATCTGCTCTCTGAAATCTGCATCTAAAATAAAATCACTGTTACCTCCTTCCTGCTTTTACACTATTTAGTTTTTCTCCAGTTTTAAGTACACGCTTTTAATGCTAATGTCGTTTTATCGTCTTGCTTGCATTTAATACCCGACCTCATTACAGTTTAACATTTAAATTTAATACACCTGAAATCTTATTTAATTTGCAACCTCTTCCTTAATTTTCCATATCACCATCAGTCAAGTCAAGTTTTACACAAAATTTCAGTTTAAAATGTTATTAATTTTTTTTTCTTTTTTTAAAGATGAAAATTATATGTACGATGACGACGACGACCATCTAGTTAATTCATTAAGTTTTATCGCCTTCATATTATTAATAATTATTTTATAAATACTTATATTGTATCTCTATTAAATATTTATTTTTTATACTGTATATTATGTAATAAAAACAGTTTTCGTTTTACAATTAAAATAGTAAAAATACTTTATTCCTTATTAATTACTTTTCAGTAATAGAAACGATTTTTATTGGGATAAATCTGTTTAAACTCTAAAATTTTTATTACATGTGGAAAAAAGACGGTTATCGTCGGACAAAATTCACCAAATTTTCTAAACAAATATAAACGTTTTTTAAAATATTTAAAATTTACTTATCAATCAAAATTTTACTAATTTTACTAAAAACTAACTATAGAATTAGTAAAATTTACTTCAGAAATGTAAAAAAATTACCAGTTATTTTCTACTAAGAATCCCTTATGTCTACTCAAAATTAGATACTTTCTTCTACGCAGTAGTTTTTTCTACTCAAAATTAGTTATTTTCTTCTAATTCCAGTTAGACAAAAAAAAAAAAAATACGAAAATAATCTGTTAGTAGCTAAGGTTAATTTCAATAAGACAATAATCGATCAAAATAATCATCATCTCATCATTTTAATCAACACCTTCTTAAATAATTACTTTCTTAACTTTTCAGTAGTAGAAACCTTAATAACCTAAATAACAAATACAAATAATTCTCAAAACATTTAAAATTTACTTATCAATGTACATTTTACTAAAAACTAACTTTAGAAGTTGTAAAATTTACTTCAGAAATGTAAGAATAATTACCAATTATTTTCTACTAACAATCAATTATTTCCACTCAAAATTATATACTTTCTACTAAGAATTACTTTTTTCTACTGAAAATTAGTTATTTTCTACAAAAAATATATTATTTTCTACTAATAATTACTAATTTGACTAAAAATTAAATTCAAACTAGTAAAACTTACATGAGAAATGTAATAAAAAATTAATAGATAATTTAAGTTTTACAATAAAAATAATAAAAGTTACTTTTTTTTCTTTAACTAATAATTAGTTATTTGATTCTAATAATTAGTTATTTTCTACTAAGAATTATTTTTTCTATTAAGAATTAGTTTTTTTTGCTAAGAATTAATTTTTCTACTCTCAATTAGTTATTTTCTAAATTATTTTCTAATAACATTTCAGTAGTAGAAATGATTTTTAGTCAGACAAATAATATTTCAAAACTGAAAAATATTTATTACAAATGGAAAATATAATTATAGTTGAACGAAATTTTCTAAATAGTGCTGTTATTTTGTTTGGATTTATAATTTTAGTGCGATAAAGTAGTGCGATTTAGTATCGCACTGAAATTTTCTAAATTTCCCCAAAAAAATTATATAAATTATCAAATAAAACTTTTCTTGAAACATTTAAACTTCACTTTTTAAAGTCAATTTTAATAGTTCTACCAAAAAAAATTAACTTCAAACTAGTAAAATCTACTTGAGAAACGTTTTAAAAAATGACTACACAATTTAAGTTTTACTATTAAAATAGTAAAAGTCACTTTATTTTCTATTTACTAATAATTAGTTATTTTCTACTAACAATTAGACAGTTTCTTCTAAAAATAAGATATTTTCTACAAATAATTAGTTATATTGCACTTTTCTCGGAAGCAAAAAATCAGTTATTGTTTACTAATAATTAATTATTTTCTACTAATAATAAGTTATTATCTATGAACAATTAGTTGTTGTGTACTAACAATTAATTTTTTTCTACTAACAATTAGTTACTATCCACTAACAATTAGCTATTTTCTACCAATAATTAGTTATTTTTTACTGACAATTAGTTATTTTCTACTAATAATTAGTTATTATCTACTAACAATTAATTATTATCTACTAATAATTAATTTTTTTTCTACTAATTTTCCTGAGCTAAAATAAAAACAAGATTTTACTAACAATTAATTATTTTCAAAGCATTCACATTAAGCTAGTAGTGCGAAAAAAAAAATTTCCACCTACATACAATATGGTAATAAACAAAGTGAAAAATATATTTTCTATTGATAACAGTGTATCCGGTAAACCATTTTCTTTAGATTAAAAACCCGACCGACCTCTAGAAGTGGAACAAGTATGGCTTTAGTCAGCCGGATGAGCGCCTGCAGAATCGTAACTCGGCCTACATCCGCGTGAATCACTTTGACACTATCACAGGCGCTTTCCGCCAAGTTTTCTCCCCTTTTTTTCTAAATTAAAGATATACTTTTTTATAATGGTCCACTAAACCGTGCAATAATCTCCATTACATTCATTTTAATACACTCCAAATATTATCCCACTTTTTCCTTATCAGCTTTCCATACAAATTTTATAAATTTCACCCCTTTTTTTTGCTGATATTTCCTTATAATTTTTCCACTACCATCACATGCGAAAGTTTTTTTTTCTCTTTGTAACTTTATTCTACGAATTGAAAGAATTGTTCTACTTTTCATTTACTCGTAATCATTGATTATAATTATAAATTATATTTATAATTATTTATAAATATAAATTATATTTACTGACAATTACAAATAAAAATTAATAATAAATAATTACAAATAGCAAAGAAAGAAGAACCTTTTGAGAAAATTTTTCCCAAACATTTTTTTTTTTTTAACAAAATCAAAACTAGGGAAAAATCAATATTTCATTTTGCAAAGAGTAGAAAGTTACTTTTATACGAGCTGAATTTTCATGTGGCTCATTATCTTTATCTTTTGTGGAAGAGATAAAAGTCAAACAATCACATTGGAAATTCCGTTCAGGCAATTCGAGAAAAAGGAAGTGAGAGAAGGAGAGAGAGAGCGAGAGAGAGAAACTATATTGAAGTGTACAGTTACTGAAAAAGTAAGTGTTCTGCTTTAATACACTATTTAAGTGTAGTTCTTGAAACAGAGAAGTTCTTAAAATTGTCGAACGATCCCGTGAATTGTTCTTCTTTTGTTCGGGCAATAGACGGAACACGACAGCTTGCCTTTCCTGCTAGCTGTAATCGGCCCTCAGTATACGCTATTCTTTTATAAAATTCCCTTCCCACTTCGTCAAGACTTTTAAACCATTTAAAGCATTTTTTTTTCTTTTTTTTTTAATTCACTTAGTTCGAGAAAAAAAATTACTAATTCGCAATTGGATAAAACAATCATTCATTACTTTAATTGATTAATTTCGATTAATTGAAATTGATTCAATGATTGTTTAAAAGTTAATAATAGTTTCATGTTAATAATTATTTAATTAAATTTTACATTAATTTATATTTAACTATTTAATATTATTATTGATTAATAATTATTATTTATTCATTCATTTATCTCTTTATATTATAATATATAATATTTAATATTAAATAATTTAATAGTAACTATAATTAATATAATTAATGGAGATGTCAAAGTCAATGCGATTTTCCCATTGAAGCTCAATGTAGAACTCCAATCGACTTTAATACTCCCTTACTTGTCACAATTATAATAATAATAGTTAATAACAGACAACATTAAATAATTTTAATAATAAATAATTTTCAATCTCAATAATAATTTTCCCTTATAAAATTATCCGATATAAGAATATTTCGAGAACAATAATTAACAGGAAAAATTAATAATTAACAAAGGTTTTTTAATACTTAAATTACAGGAAAGTACAAATTATGCGAATTTCCTTTAAAGTTAAACTATAAATATAAAGCACATACCCGATAATTTAAAAATTAAATTAAAAATTTCTTATAACAAAAATGATTATATTTTAATAAATTCTCCATTTCCTTCATTACTTTTCTTATAAAATACTTTTTAAAATGAACTTAATTTATATATCTTATAGAAAGGAAGTTTTCATTTAAAACTCT